TACAATAATAACAAAGAAATGTTAATGGATAATATTTAATGATACATACAGGTGTGTTATGGGGCTGGGGAAATGCTTACTTATCTTACTTAACTGAATTAGTTTTAGAATATGTCATAAAGGTGTAATGTTATTGGAGATCTATTGAAACTGCAAATGAATGCCAGTAGGTGGTTGTGTCTTTAAATATAAATAATTCTAGATAAAAACATGTTTAAATAATGGTAACTGAATGAGAATTATTCAGTACATGGATAGTAAAATACATATTTTTTCTTTCTTGACTTAAAATGTACAACTTGATTTGAATGAAGTATGTGTAAGGATTGTGGAAGAAATGCACGGAATATATTTGTAACCAATCGATATGTTTTCTACAAGATGTAACGAAAGATGATTTTTTTGTGTGTGTGTTTTCGGTTTAACTAAAACAATAAAAACAATTTTCTCAAAAAAAAAATTAGCCAGGGGCTTCAGTTGACCAAGTCCCGCATGGGTGCCACTGTTTTCTGACAAAAAAAATTGGCTCTATTAGACTGTGCATGGACTACAGTGGACTTAATGCCATCTGTGTGGAAAATGTGCCTCCTTACGTTGATGAACAACATACTGGGCCACTTGACCTAGGAGAGATTTTCCACCAAATTGGACTTAAGGGGGGGGTGATTACCAAGGAGTGTAGATTAAGAAGGGAGATGAATGGAAAATGGCACATTGGAGCAATACCTCCGCTGTTACATGAACTACCAGCAAGATATCTCAGCTGAACTCTTACCCTTTGCTGAGGTTGCCTACATTAATTCAGTACACAGTAGTTCTGGATTCACACCATCCCAAATGGCCACTGGCCTGGACTTTGTCCCTATGCCAGAACTCCCTCAACACACACCCCTCAACTGTCATTAACCAATTGTATTCGAGCCCTGCAGAACATTTAGCCCATGGTCCACAAAGCACTTAAATTACAGTTAAATTACAAGTGTTTCTTGAATGGGAATAACTTAATGAACCAGGATCATTTATGTAAATCTCTCACGTGGCCTTTAGTAATCAGGCATTACTAAAATCTCTACTTAATTAGTTTTATGATGCCAAGTAGCTATTTTAAAATGGTTTGATTTTGAATGCTTTTCTACCCTTAAAATTATTATGGTAAATTGTGGGAAGCTGTTTAACTCAGAAAAGAACTATTAATTATTTCAAAGCAACTTACGTGATAAGCAGTATAGAGCCAATACTGAGGTGATGGTGTGCATTTTGGTGCAATTCTTCCGGGGGACAAGCCAAGCTGCTCTCTAACTCAAAAACGTAGGAACATTGCTTTATCTTCTCCCTCTCCTCTGCCACCATGGTGAAACGAGCCTGTTTAGAGATGATAAGAGTCTAATGGCATACTCATCAATGCTCAACCGCTCCCTCCTCTCGAGATATTCAGCAAGAGTGCCCCACAATTCTCACAGTCCTATTGTGGCCTGATTCATACACATGGCATGCTGACTGAAACTACAAAGAGGTCGTTCCGCACAATCTAGAGAGCTGCAGATTCCATTTCCTTAGGTTAAGGCATTACTAAAAAGTTCTAATGTAGTTTCCTCTTTGATGTGCCTTTTTCTTAATGCTCTCAATACAGGAAACGTTACCCTGTTTCCCCGAAAATAAGCCCTCCCCGAAAATATTGCAACACAGCAGCAGTCATGAGGTGACCATGCTTAACCACCTCCTGCACCTCAAAAATGATAAGATCTCCGTGAAAATAAGGCCAAGCACTTATTTCGTGGGTCAAAAGAAGACAAGACCCTGTCTTACACAATTCAGTACATGCTGTAATTTGATATGTAATATATAATTTTGATATGTAATTTTCATGTGAAATGCATAGCTTTTGTTTACTAATCAACTTCAGCTCTGATATTATGCAGCGTGTAACCAATACTGCAAATAGCATGGTAAGGGCTGAGTTATGTACTAGTTTTCTTTAACATAATCCATTGTTACTGTCCCATTCTTATACTCACTGCTAATGTTGTTCGGTTGCAGATAATCATTACTAAAGCTTTCCTGGGTTCCTTTGTACAATGACCTTCATAGGGATCGCCACCCTGATAGATCAGCATAATCCAGGTAGCTGCCAAATTAGAAATATGAGAGATTCAGTGATGCCTGAGTCTAATGACAAGAACGCTCCTCAATAGATCTCAATAGATCTCAATAGAAAGTACGTCTTACTTCCATTTGCAAGGTGGGTCTCATTGATTCGTCCTATTACTTTTTCTTGGTTGTCTGTCTTACTGATCTGCACCAGTCCAGAATTGGACATATTGTGGAAGACTTCCCGACATATCCTCAGTCTGTAAATGTAGTGGCCCTCATTGGTCTTGCTTTCTGTTTCAAAACTGCAAAAAAAAATGCCAATTTACAACGTGTAATATAAAATCAGGACTGGATGTGACCTCAGAGGTCTTCTAGTCCAATCCCCTGCTCAAGGTAGGAGTTTTATATATGATTCCAGTCAAATTGTTGTCCAAACTATTTTTGAAAACTAGCACCTACATTTACACAGTTTACCCTCATTTACACATTTACAACCACTTTTATACCAATATATGAAAATAAAAACAGTAAGAAAACTAGCAATATTTGCCTGGAATATTTCTTATAATGCTAATTTTATCTTTGCCTCTCAAATGAATGAATAATTAATAGCCAGAATAGTGTGAACCAAAAAACCCTGAAATATCACATTGGCATAACTATTCAGATCCTTTGTAACAACACTTGAAATTTAGCTCCCATGTCTCCCATTTCTCCTAATGATTACCGACATGTTTCTATACCTTGATTGGAGTTGACCTTTGGTAAATTTAATTGATTGGACATGATTTGGAAAGGCACACACCTCTCCATAGAAGGTCTCACAGCTGACAATGCATACTACAACAGAGCAAAACCATAAGGTCAAAGGAAGTGCCTAGAGAGCTCAAAGACAGGATTATTGCAAGGCATAGATCTGGGGAAGGCTACAATAAAGTTTCTGCTGCACTGATGGCTCCTTTTTTTTTAAAGAAAGTTTTTATTTTTAGACCAACATAGACAAACATAAAACATAAAAGCCATCTTCAGTTACATACAGTGTGTCGATTGGTTGCAAGGTTTTTGTGCATCCTTTCCACAGTCATCACTTACAATTTATATGAAATCACATATTATCAAATCAAATATATTTGTATACATTATTATTATTATACCTCATTTATTTGACTATCACTAATATTCCATTTTAAACGAGAAATACTAGGTATTGGATTCATTTATATTATAACAATTCATTACATTATCTTAAATCTATCCAATAATAATATATCTTTATGTTATATTCNGCCTGCAGTGCTGCATTTAACCACTGCGCCACCTCGGCTCTTATGCAATGCGTGATGACACACTGGCATGCGCTACGTGTATAATATAATAAGGCTATACTCTTTATAATACTCTTTATAATGAAAATGTTTGTAATCTTGTCCTTCCTCCTGAAGAAGACGGATGATTGATGGGTTTCCCTGCCCTCATCCTGTCAGTTTGTTGTTTATTGACTTGATTCAGAGTGTATCGGCTGCATTCCAGCTGCAGCTGTTAAGTGGAGCTATTAACTGAAGGGGGAAAGAGAGGGGGGGGGGAAAAACCTTTCTTGCACTTTGTTTTTAACCTGTTCGCCGAACTCCGTAAGCAATTAACTCACGTTTCGGGTGAACTGGTGAGAACTGGTTGAATCCCACTTGTGCCTAGCACCCACCCACTTACCTATTCCCCCCCCCCCCCCATATGTGCCCTTTTGGATGTACTGTACAGTGGGGGGGGGGAGTCCCTGGTCCACAGGCCCATGCCAGCCTATGAGGAACCACCCTGCACAGTTGAAGGTAAGTGGCAGGCAAGTGAGCTAGGCTTCATCTGTATTTGCACCCACTCCCCAGTGCCAGCATCGCTGCATCAGCTCCATCTCAGATCATCAGGCACCAGATTCTCACGGGAGCGGGAACCCTACTGTGAACTGTACATGCAGGGGAGCCAGGCTGCTTTCTTCTCCTCCCCTCCTGGTCCATGGGAAAATGGTCACCCACGAAACCAGTTCCTGGTCCCAAAACGTTTGGGGGCGGCTGCTGTCGCTGCACAGCACGGCTGAGATGAAGATGCTGCTGTATTCTGCAGTCCCTCCACCTGATTCCCACTGTCATCATCTCTGCTTCCCTGACCACCAGTGGCCCTTTGAACAGCCCACGGCTGCCGGCCATTTCCCCTCCAGCCTCCTCTGCCTTCGCAGCCCGGATAAAGTGTGGCAAGGCAAAGAAGGCAGCAAAGTCAGTTGGGAGGGGCAGAGGGTGGCGGTGGAATACAGCAGCATCTTGGCCCTGCTATGAAAGATGCCCCAAAAGGGCAGAGATGGGGGGAGACAGGCAGGTGCAGGGAATTCAAGCAGAGAGTTTGTGCAGGTCAAGAGAATGTGACGATGAATTGCAACAATTGTAAATGTGTGCTGGTGCCAAGCATCCAAAATTAGATACGTAAGTGGAGATACTGCAACTTTGAGGACTTGTAAGAGCATTTCTTCGGTGCCACTGTAAATGATCGCAGAATGAGTGGTTGTAACCCAAGGACTACCTGTACTATCTTTTACTGTAGTCACATGAGGTAACAAATACGATAAAATGTGTGTCAATCACAGATTAGAACAGGATCAGGTTTGGGGACCTTAAAAACCAATTGGCATGACTGCACCTCACCTGGTTTCTGACTGAAACAGTGGGGCTGAGGATAGGGACCAATGTAGAGACTATCCAGTACATGACCAAGGCCGTGATCATGGGACTTGCATAGTTCAAGAAGTGGAATCCCTCCATAGATTGGAAGTGGAACCGGTTGAAAGTGCGGAAAAACTTTCCAGCCTGGAAGCAGTGGTGAAAGTGACAAGGAGCCGCCACAAGCCACAAATGAGAAAAGCAGAATTTGCTGGGAACGGTTGGGTGGGGGGAGGAGCCAGATCCATCACTCCCTAAAGACCACCTGGCCAAAGAGTCCTGGACCTGGCCAAAGTGTTCGATAAAAGGGAGTCTACTTCTGTCCCATCAGCCAACAGACTGCAATCAAGGGAGCTAAAATGCCAAACTTAAATAGTACTCTATGACGCCCTGGGAAATGGAAGAAGTCCAGTCATTCATCAACAAAAATTTAGCCAGGGGAGGGGAGCCAACGTCACAACGTTACATTGTGCGGACTCGACAGTCCAAATCCGCCGATGACACTTTTGCCCCTGGACGGTCCAGCAGGACCTAAACTGTCCCGAAGAGACGGTGACTGGGAAGACAAGACCTTGCTGGTCTCAGGGACATCACAAAGTCCCTGATCGACCCAAGGGAAGCGCTTCCAACCGGCGGCAAACAGGCAGCGCCCCCGGCTGACATAGTTGGAGACAGCTCCAGAAAGAGAAGTGAAAGTGTTCCATCTGGTGAGGTTTTTTTTCTTTTCTTTTAGAAGATTGCCCTAAGAAACTCTTTTCNGAATAAACTAAATTATTAATGTATCTTAAATAGAAAACTATCTTTAGATAGATTTTTACTCCAAAAGCATTTTATTAAAATAAATTTGATAAAAAATAAACAAATCCAATTTAAATAAAAAAAGTCTGATTTTTTAATTTGTTTTTTAAAAAATCAATTTTTATCCACCCTGATATATATTATTGGAATTCTAACAATTTGAGTTCACAAAAATAAATTTCTGTGGGAGTAAGTACATTGCAAGCATGTTTTCATAAAATGTATTACTTTCTGTTTTTTCTAAAGATACTAGAATTTATTGAACCATTGCTTAGTTGGGTTATACTAAATTACAAATGCACTTTTAAAAATATATCACAATTGGCATTTTCCTTTTTTGCCATCCTCTTAGATGTGTGCAATAGTACTGATCTTCCCGAAGTTGAAATCATCAGTCTGCTGGAAGAGCAGCTCCCCCATTACAAGCTAAGAGCCGATACAATATATGGTTATGACCACGACGATTGGCTTCATACTCCTCTTATTTCTCCTGATGCGAACATTGACTTAACAACTGAGCAGATAGAAGAGACATTGAAATACTTCCGTAAGTCCAGATATGTACATTAGGATTCAAATAATGAAATTATCTTTGAATTATCTTTTTTTCCAGATTCTGTTCAAGAATTGCATTATAAGTAGAACCATTTAAAATGTGCCATTTTAACATCATTTTGTTGTAAGTGGTATAATTTCCATCTAATTAGAATAATTTGAATGTAGCTTGTGTATTTCAATTTTTAATTAAGTTTTCAGTTTTTTAAAGTCAAATTTTATTATAAATACTATTGTTGTCCTATATGACAAGGTCTGAAATCAAATAATTTCTTCTGGCATTCTTATCTTCCTTGTTTTTATACTTAAAATGTATAAGGCTGTGAAAACATTTGAAAGAAATACTTTCCTGAGTATTTCTTAGGATGAACAAAACCCAGCTCTATGACATACTCAGACATATTCTTTGTAAGCTTTGCATAGCTGTCTCAGTGGGTATTCTTGCTTATCTGTGTATGTATGGCTCAAACACTACTGTTAAGATGGAGGGAAACAAGTTGTGCATGGTACAGTTGCAGGCACTTGGTTACAGTTTCTGAAAAATCTGGGCAAATTTTCCAAAGGTTGTAGTTATGTTAAAATTAAAAGTTTTTTACATGAGCTAACACACCTTACTCCTATTCAGAATACTTATGAAAGATATTTTGTTTTCTATTAACACGGTTGAATATTGTTTTGGATTTTTGCTGGTCTGTGACAATAATAAAAGATTGGGAATTCTCATACAGAGTGTATTAAAATAAACTATTAACAAGGAAATGATGGTAATCTTGCAGACAGGGGCACAATTAATAAATCATTCATAGCTAGAAGTAAATGTTTCTCATCACTTTGCTGATGTGGAAAGTTATCACCCAGCCCTCTCCCAGAGAAATGAAATATNATGTTATTGGATATGAAAATGCTTCAATAGTTGATAACCAGACTGGAATTTTTAAATAACGTTGCCTTTTAATCTTCTCCCAATTTAATAGCAAAGCCTCACGTATATAACGTATTCTAAAATACCCCTGTGTTTTAGTTCCCCTGTACCATAAGAAAGTATGCCATCCCAACTGCAAATCATGTCCTTCTGCAGTCAGTATTCTAGAATTTCTTAATGTTATCCACTCCTTAACTCACATCAAGCTTGTTGCCTGGTAATATAACTCCCAGTTAGGTGGGCCAAATCCTCCTCTTATTCTAGCATCTTGTAACCATTTTAATTTTATTCTTGCCTTCTTTCCCTGCCAAATATACTTGAACACTAT